ATGTTATTTCAGTAAATTCGGAAGAACTACATAACATGGACAAAAACTTAGATGAAGATGTTCACACCTATGGATTATGCAACGTGTGTCATCAGAACAGTAACGGAACATGCAATGAATCCCAAATGGTGAAGTTTCATGTCACTGTTAACTAATAGTTTTGTGTGTAGTTTTTGTGCATTTAGTATACTGAATATTTGCCAGAAACTCATCGAGGTCATTCAAACCTGATTTTCAGACTTCTTTCTTAGTCTCATTAGAGTAAATATTTCCTATTGTAATATTTAAAGCTGGAAAAATATGTTATTCATCTTTCGTATTTAATTTATTATGTTCTGGCCGCAAACACAGTGGAGTTGGTGTAAAGTTATTAATAGTTAGAAATAAACCAGATTGTAGGTGATTTAGTGAACATGTGTAATAATTCATCATACTTATGCCTGTTACCTGTCGTGAGGGAGCATAGGTCGACCACCAGCACTCTCCGTCCAACTCTGTTCTGGACAATTCTTTCCAGTTCTTTCCAGTTGCTACTCATCCTTTTCAGATCTGCTTCCAACTCTCAACGCATTGTGTTCTTTGGTGTACTTCTTTTCCGTTTCCCTTCACGATTCCAAGTGAGCGCTTGCTTCATGATGCAGTTTGGTGATTTCCATAATCTATGTCCTATCCACTTCCATCATCTTTTCGTAATTTCCTCTTCAGTTAGAAGCTTGTTTGTTATCTGCTATAGTAGGCTGTTGCTGATGGTATCCGGTCAACGGACATTCAGTATTTTACGTAGAAAATTGTTTAAATATATACGTAAATCACCAATACAGGTAACAATCATATGCTAATTAGTGACCGTCTTCAATATGTAACTCATAGAGTTATGCCATCTGCGGACTCTAAGTCAATAAGTGGACCTCCTAGAAAGAGATCAATTCCCGAGAATCCAGTCGACGAGGACGTTATTTCCATCAGTATATCTATGATGAAGTTGAACAAAAATGGAGATAGTGGACAGTATTTTACGTAGAGAATTGTTTATATATATATGTAAACCATCAATACAAGTAACAATCATATGCTAATTGGTGACCGTCTTCAAGATGTAACTCTTAGAGTTATAGAAAGAGGCCGTGACCAGTGGGATTAAGTCCGTGTCAGGTATGATTTAGTTATCCATCGTAGACAATCACTGAATAGTTGCACACGCTCATAGATCGATTGAATGCTGGCTAATGGTCTAGAGGTTTGGCATTCGCTCGCAATGCTCAAGGTGCTAGGTTTGATTTCAGTTTGTTGGATTGTTGATGGGCACTTCTGAGGAGTTCTATACTAGGATGAAACGGTACTCCAATGCTTCCAGGCTTCGATGGTGGTTTGTATTGAGCTAGTAGTAATATTGAACTACATACTGTATTGACATGAGAGTTGTTTCAAAATTCAGGAATTTATTTCATTTCACAGACAATCCATCTTCTGCTCTTCACACTGGCACCGTGACTTCTCATTCTTTTAACACTATTCTTAATCTCGTATCTCTTACACCAAATCCGTTTTCTGCATCAATCACAAATTGATTTATTTCTCTTCGCGTCTACTATTCTAATAACATTCCTAATTCTACTCTTACTAGAACTACTGTTATTACCGCACATACTTCAACAACTACAATACTGTAGCTACTGATATTCATAATATTACATATACCAATTACTGCGAATACATCCAACACTAGGGCGGCCTGCTTGAGCATCTGGGCTACCTGTTCCTGCCATCTAGATATTTCAACAAGTTATCTATTGTTGTTTGTTTTAATATATCATTATGTTTATTAATTGCATAACCTATTCTGCTGCGTTTCTGAAAAGTGTACAACCTTTCGTTGTCAAAGTTACAGAAAACTCAATAAGAGACAATATGGTTGCTGGCAATGTACAACGAAAAGAATGCACATTATTCAGTTGTTCATTCACTGAAGTGCTAACATCTAACTGGCGTTTCCTCAATATTTATCGCCAGGACCGACCAAGAAGAAAGAAACGGAAACTTGTTGAAATACTTTGAGCTGAGAATTCTATATTGTACCAAAATTATAATATTGAATAAAGCTAATAATAATAATAATAATCAGTCAGTCAGTCAGTCAGTCAGTCAGTCATCGACATCGTAGTAAAAGGCATATATATGCACTAGTCAAAGTTGCCATACCGCATTAGCACAACAAGATGAACACCAAATTAATAGAAGTGGTCACTTCAATGGTAGTAATATATAAAAGGATACAGTAGCGAAAGAAAGAATTAGAAAGAAAGGTATAAAGTAATTTTAATCTCACGGCTTAAGGGAAGACAAAGAGTGTATACACCGATGCCATTGTGATCGATTCTGAGCCATGTCACACAGAGTCTCCAGCCATTGGTTACGATAGTCACGCGAACACCAAACAAGTAGTCTGCATCTGCCAACATGTCTCAGGTTAAAAGCTAGTGAAGTTGTCAACGCGTTCGACTACTTCACTTACTATCCTTAGTTCAGGTGTTGACGCAGGCCAGTCCCGAATTAACAACATGCATTTAGAGGGGAAGAAGCGCATCCGAAATATTCTGGCATTGTTGCTCAGTGCTCCCAGAAGACTCTGCATTTTATCAGCGTCTTCACCAAACACGAATATGTCACCTGCACATTCTAAGTCAATAAGTGGACCTCTTAGAAAGAGATCAATTCCCGAGAATCCAGTCGACGAGAACGTTATTTCCATCAGTATATCTATGATGAAGTTGAACGAAAATGGAGATAGTGGACAGCCTTGTCGGCCACCACTTGAGGTTGCGAAATCAGATGACAGTTTGCTATAAGCTCTGACTCGACTAGTAATGTTTGAGTAAAGAGCCTTCACAATGTTTGTATACTTCAATGACAGACACTGCCACAGAACCTCACTGTTTGCAGAGTCAAATGCTGCTTTTAAGTCGATAAAGAATACCATTGTTGGACGCCAATAAGCATGTCTGTGTTCTAGGACCTGACGAATGGTGAATATGTGTTGGATGCAGCCGCAACCAGATCTGAATCCAGCCTGATTTTCTCGTGTTTTCAATTCATGAGTCTTGACTAGGTGCCCGATAATTATTGAGGCTGGTGTTTTAGATGCTAGGTTAGTCAAACTAATCTTGTATGGTTATCACAGGATGGTTTTGACACCACTGCTCACGGTCGTTCCTTAGACTTCTGGTTAACCTAGGCCTGACTTGTTTTCGCTCATCATCGTGTTCGGGGCCCTGTTAGGATGTGTTTAAGAGAATCTATCAGTGCGATGGACTTAGTAGGAAACCACTGGTTTTCGTAACCTTTTGGTTTAAATCACTGATAGATGTCGCTGTTGCTTCCACAGCTGGTTTTACATCTTTCCAAGCAACATTGGGACAGCCTCGTTTTCGGAACTACCTGAGTGTGACTTCAGTTGTTTATGTAATCTACTTTTGGCTATCTCGTCACCGAGTTCAACTCTAATGGGTCTTCTCAATGTGGTTTCTCTGCGTCCAGTGAGGCGCAAGCAAATGCATGCTCGTATTAGAGCATGATTGGAGTCTAAACATGTACTCCAGAACGAGCGGCAGTCTTCTATCGAGCCTCTCCAACGATCACTGATGGCAAAATGGTCTATTTGAGTCCATAGTTTGTTTAGTTCATGTGGTCACCATGTTAGACAATGTCTCTCCTTATGCTTAAAATTAGTGCTTGCTACAAATAAACGATTGTCTGAGTATAGTTGCAACAGACGATCACCATTATCTGTTGGATGAGCCGGAATACCAAAATACCCACTTAAATGTCTTTCTGTTTGGTTTAAGCTACCTACTTGGACATTAGAGTCATCTGCTAAGAGTACTATGTCTGAGTGTTTAGCTTTATGAAGAAGTTCAGAAAGCTTTCTGTAAGAGTCATCTTTCACTTCATCCGTGTTGCAGTCAGTGGAAGCGTAGGCACAAACGACGAAAAGACAACAACGTGTGTCCCTATCCTTCCGAGTTCTTACGGACCCGTTTAACCGAACAGCACATAGACGACTGTTAACAGGGATCCACTCTAATGGTGCTTGTTCCGCCCTCGTACTTAGTACTATGCCCACACCTGCCAGTCCACAAGAAATAGACAGATACATGGAGGGTGTATCTCGTCGGTTCTCCGTTTTGGCGAGGTGAGGACTAGTGAATGAGTGTTTCAGAAACACAGCACACATCAGTGGTACGAGATTCTTGGGTTTTAGCCAAGCATACCTGTTGGCCGATTGGAAATAGGGTACGTACGTTGAAGGCACCAATGTGCAGTTTGGAGCGAGGTTTCAGTAGACCTGGAACAGTGTTCCGCACACTAGAATCGTTGGCCATGATGACGTGTGAATAGATATCCAGTGTGCTGATCTACGTGCTGATTTGAAAATGTTCAATAATAATAGAATAATATTGCATTAGGTCACATTGAATGAAACATGAAGTCAAAAATTATCAGCAGATAAAAACACTGATAAAGATTATGTAAGTGGATTGGATTTAAAGTTAAGAAGGATAACAACTAAAGAAATTAATCTCTTTTCACAAACACTGATCTTTTAAGAACTAAGATTAAAACGATTGTGGTTTGATTACAATGAGAAATATTAGTGTTAATATGGGTTATGTTATTAAAGACTACCATTCAAATACATTAGTTAATCAAATGATAGACAATACATTCTGCATGATGTATTCATTCAATTAATGAGTGAATTGAAGACAATAATAAAGTGAGAAATTGTATATGAAAAGGATTATTAAACGATCACACTTATGAGAGGTGATCTGTATTGTCTACGTGAACTCTTGTCATTTTATTCATACAACATATTAGCAACAAGAAAATTAGTATATAAGTGAAACTGATTTACAAATACAGCGTATTGAAGTTGCAAATTCAACTTCATATCGCACTGATTATCTTATGAATAACTCTGATTCAATCACACACAAATCATGATATTGATGAAGATGATTTTATTGACATTCTGTTTCTATTTGACACTAAAATTGAATCACATTAGTGGACAACTAAATGAACACACCAATGTACAACAGAATCAAACTATCTCACATATTGTTTTTGATGCAAATGAAACTAATCCGATTGCCAAGAACAATCAATCAGAAATGGATGTTATGAATCTAGTGCAAAATCAATTGAATTCATCATTAACAAACGAAATTCCGATGCCCTATTTATCAGTGACCACATCGAATGATCACAGGTACGATCAAAATGTAAACGAATCAAATGTGAAATATGGAGGCGAAGAACAAGAAACAAAATCACATATTGACAATGAAAAGAAAAGGAAATCACAACAAACACAACTTATCATAGATTTCAGTGGAACAAATGAGAAACGATTAGCGTTCCAAAGACAAATATCGGAAGGAGATGACAGAAAATCTTCGATTGTACAAAATCAAGAGCAGAGTCCAATATCGAAAACAGAAAGGAATATCAGTGAATTTCAAGTACAGCAAGGACAAGATATAGAAGAAAAATTGCTCAAAGAAATACAATTAAAAACTACAAACGAAAATATAGACAAAGAAGTAATAGCACATAAATTCACAAAGGAAAACAATATTCAAACAACACTACCAAATATATTATACACAAAAAAAAATTCAGCAACACAAAAATCACAACAAGTTACCGATGTCGCGCAACTCACAACAGAACAATTACTCGACAACGCACAAGTCATGCCCAACATCACCACCATCATCAACACTGAGACTACACTCACCACTGCACAATCCACACAACCAACATCTGCATCTCCAACATCACAACCAGTTACCGATGTCGCGCAACTCACAACAGAACAATTACTCGACAACGCACAAGTCATGCCCAACATCACCACCATCATCAACACTGAGACTACACTCACCACTGCACAATCCACACAACCAACATCTGCATCACCAACATCACAACCAGTTACCGATGTCGCGCAACTCACAACAGAACAATTACTCGACAACGCACAAGTCGTGCCCAACATCACCACCATCATCAACACTGAGACTACACTCACCACTGCACAATCCACACAACCAACATCTGCATCTCCAACATCACAACCAGTTACCGATGTCGCGCAACTCACAACAGAACAATTACTCGACAACGCACAAGTCATGCCCAACACACCACCATCATCAACACTGAGACTACACTCACCACTGCACAATCCACACAACCAACATCTGCATCTCCAACATCACAACCAGTTACCGATGTCGCGCAACTCACAACAGAACAATTACTCGACAACGCACAAGTCATGCCCAACACCACCACCATCATCAACACTGAGACTACACTCACCACTGCACAATCCACACAACCAACATCTGCATCTCCAACATCACAACCAGTTACCGATGTCGCGCAACTCACAACAGAACAATTACTCGACAACGCACAAGTCGTGCCCAACATCCACCACCATCATCAACACTGAGACTACACTCACCACTGCACAATCCACACAACCAACATCTGCATCACCAACATCACAACCAGTTACCGATGTCGCGCAACTCACAACAGAACAATTACTCGACAACGCACAAGTCATGCCCAACACCACCACCATCATCAACACTGAGACTACACTCACCACTGCACAATCCACACAACCAACATCTGCATCTCCAACATCACAACCAGTTACCGATGTCGCGCAACTCACAACAGAACAATTACTCGACAACGCACAAGTCATGCCCAACATCACCACCATCATCAACACTGAGACTACACTCACCACTGCACAATCCACACAACCAACATCTGCATCTCCAACATCACAACCAGTTACCGATGTCGCGCAACTCACAACAGAACAATTACTCGACAACGCACAAGTCGTGCCCAACATCACCACCATCATCAACACTGAGACTACACTCACCACTGCACAATCCACACAACCAACATCTGCATCTCCAACATCACAACCAGTTACCGATGTCGCGCAACTCACAACAGAACAATTACTCGACAACGCACAAGTCATGCCCAACATCACCACCATCATCAACACTGAGACTACACTCACCACTGCACAATCCACACAACCAACATCTGCATCTCCAACATCACAACCAGTTACCGATGTCGCGCAACTCACAACAGAACAATTACTCGACAACGCACAAGTCATGCCCAACATCACCACCATCATCAACACTGAGACTACACTCACCACTGCACAATCCACACAACCAACATCTGCATCTCCAACATCACAACCAGTTACCGATGTCGCGCAACTCACAACAGAACAATTACTCGACAACGCACAAGTCGTGCCCAACATCACCACCATCATCAACACTGAGACTACACTCACCACTGCACAATCCACACAACCAACATCTGCATCACCAACATCACAACCAGTTACCGATGTCGCGCAACTCACAACAGAACAATTACTCGACAACGCACAAGTCATGCCCAACATCACCACCATCATCAACACTGAGACTACACTCACCACTGCACAATCCACACAACCAACATCTGCATCTCCAACATCACAACCAGTTACCGATGTCGCGCAACTCACAACAGAACAATTACTCGACAACGCACAAGTCATGCCCAACATCACCACCATCATCAACACTGAGACTACACTCACCACTGCACAATCCACACAACCAACATCTGCATCTCCAACATCACAACCAGTTACCGATGTCGCGCAACTCACAACAGAACAATACTCGACAACGCACAAGTCGTGCCCAACATCACCACCATCATCAACACTGAGACTACACTCACCACTGCACAATCCACACAACCAACATCTGCATCACCAACATCACAACCAGTTACCGATGTCGCGCAACTCACAACAGAACAATTACTCGACAACGCACAAGTCGTGCCCAACATCACCACCATCATCAACACTGAGACTACACTCACCACTGCACAATCCACACAACCAACATCTGCATCTCCAACATCACAACCAGTTACCGATGTCGCGCAACTCACAACAGAACAATTACTCGACAACGCACAAGTCGTGCCCAACATCACCACCATCATCAACACTGAGACTACACTCACCACTGCACAATCCACACAACCAACATCTGCATCTCCAACATCACAACCAGTTACCGATGTCGCGCAACTCACAACAGAACAATTACTCGACAACGCACAAGTCGTGCCCAACATCACCACCATCATCAACACTGAGACTACACTCACCACTGCACAATCCACACAACCAACATCTGCATCTCCAACATCACAACCAGTTACCGATGTCGCGCAACTCACAACAGAACAATTACTCGACAACGCACAAGTCAGTGCCCAACATCACCACCATCATCAACACTGAGACTACACTCACCACTGCACAATCCACACAACCAACATCTGCATCTCCAACATCACAACCAGTTACCGATGTCGCGCAACTCACAACAGAACAATTACTCGACAACGCACAAGTCGTGCCCAACATCACCACCATCATCAACACTGAGACTACACTCACCACTGCACAATCCACACAACCAACATCTGCATCTCCAACATCACAACCAGTTACCGATGTCGCGCAACTCACAACAGAACAATTACTCGACAACGCACAAGTCGTGCCCAACATCACCACCATCATCAACACTGAGACTACACTCACCACTGCACAATCCACACAACCAACATCTGCATCACCCAACATCACAACCAGTTACCGATGTCGCGCAACTCACAACAGAACAATTACTCGACAACGCACAAGTCATGCCCAACATCACCACCATCATCAACACTGAGACTACACTCACCACTGCACAATCCACACAACCAACATCTGCATCTCCAACATCACAACCAGTTACCGATGTCGCGCAACTCACAACAGAACAATTACTCGACAACGCACAAGTCATGCCCAACATCACCACCATCATCAACACTGAGACTACACTCACCACTGCACAATCCACACAACCAACATCTGCATCACCAACATCACAACCAGTTACCGATGTCGCGCAACTCACAACAGAACAATTACTCGACAACGCACAAGTCGTGCCCAACATCACCACCATCATCAACACTGAGACTACACTCACCACTGCACAATCCACACAACCAACATCTGCATCACCAACATCACAACCAGTTACCGATGTCGCGCAACTCACAACAGAACAATTACTCGACAACGCACAAGTCATGCCCAACATCACCACCATCATCAACACTGAGACTACACTCACCACTGCACAATCCACACAACCAACATCTGCATCTCCAACATCACAACCAGTTACCGATGTCGCGCAACTCACAACAGAACAATTACTCGACAACGCACAAGTCATGCCCAACATCACCACCATCATCAACACTGAGACTACACTCACCACTGCACAATCCACACAACCAACATCTGCATCACCAACATCACAACCAGTTACCGATGTCGCGCAACTCACAACAGAACAATTACTCGACAACGCACAAGTCGTGCCCAACATCACCACCATCATCAACACTGAGACTACACTCACCACTGCACAATCCACACAACCAACATCTGCATCTCCAACATCACAACCAGTTACCGATGTCGCGCAACTCACAACAGAACAATTACTCGACAACGCACAAGTCATGCCCAACAT